TTAGGATATCATACAGCATCTTAGGATATAATACAGTATCTTAGGATGTCATACAATACCTTAGGATATCATTATCTTAGGATATCTACAGTATATCTTAGGATATCATACAATATCTTAGGATGTCATACAGTATGGCTTAGGATACCATACAGTATCTTAGGATATCATACAATATGTTAGGATATCATACAGTATCTTAGGATATCATACAGCATCTTAGGATATCATACAATATCTTAGGATATCATACAGTATCTTAAGATATCATACAGCATCTTAGGATATCATACAATATCTTAGGATATCATATATACAGTATCTTAGGATATCACACAGTATCTTAGGCTATCAATATCTGGGATGATGAAAGCAGCCACAATGACGGAAGCAGCCACGATGACGAATCGGATAGTGCAACGTCTCAAACAAGTGACGATATATATTAGAAGCATAACTTTGTAAAACATTTTGAAGAAATAAATAAAAGTGAAATCTTGTTCAAACTTTTGCCTGCAAAGCCACGCGCCCGATTTTAAGGTAATAAATAATCCCTATCTATCTATAATAAGCACTTAAGTTAAGAGATTAAAAGTTTGCTTGTAATCCATTAATGACTGTTAATGACTTTGGCTGTATACGTTTTAGAGAGCCACAAACGACAAAATTTCGATATATCTTGCATATAATCTGTAATAACTCTCCGTTCGTTACTATTTTTTTTCCTGTCTCAAGCTCGCTGGGTGAAATAAAGAAAATATGTGTATATTCAAACGGGGTGGGCGGGTTAATCACTTTTTAATGACTCTGTAATATGCAAATATCGGCCATAACAACGGCGTTGACAACGATTTTAACTTGGGCTTAGCTACTGCTTAGTTCTGTTTAAAAATTTTCATATGTATGTCTGGATGTTTATTATTCCTTGTTTAATAGTCCTAAACATGGTGAATACATCCCCAGAGAAAACCAAGGATGGTGTTAAAGTAGTGGACACTCTAAGATAATCTAATAAAACCTTGTAATACGATGAATTTAAATACACCTTTTATACTCTATTTCTATTGTTGTTTATGATTTTGGGGAATTTTGAATTATAAACTGGGGATATTCTCTGCAAAATTCCCCCCGGAATCTTTGCAAACTCCTATAAGTCAGGAATTTTCATAATACACAATTCTCATTGCGCATGCGTAAAATAACTACGTCCCACAAGCATTACAACAACTTTAGTAGAATATATATGGGGAATGTGTTAAAATTCATTCAGTTTGTTGGAAGGAATATATGTCGGGGGATAAATATTAATAACTTACTGACCGAGAGTGAGGGCAGTACGGGAAAATATCCAACCGAGGTCTTGCTGACCGAGCGATAGCGAGGTCAATACAGCAAGACCGAGGTTGGATATTTTCCCGTACTGCCCGAACGGTTGAGGTCAGTAAGTTTTTTATTATATGGCATTGTACGTTTGTAAAAAATGGGTAAAAAAGGTCACGCGAGGGCAAAGTACAAAGTCCGAAACATTTGCAAAAAAGAACAATTGTAAAAAATGTTCTCAAGCTTGGTTAGTAAAACTACTCTACAGCAATTTTTATATAGAATACTAACACAGTTGGATAGTATTTCAAGAAAAATACGAGGTATTTCGTCATTTAATGAAAGACAAAGACTCGACAACAAATATGAAAACAATAAAATTAATAAACAGTATGGACAAGTACGGTTTTAGTTCGCTTCATCTCATAAATATATCTCTTTTTATCGAAAACCCCCAGAAATTTTCAGGGAAAAAATATAAATCTGTGGCTGCTTTAGTTGTATTTTTTATTTAGGATGGTGTCAAATTCCTCGGCTATCTGCAAATAAGATTTGCAGCTCTTCACAAAGTCAAAACACAGCTATTCCTGACTTCTTTAATAGTTATAAACATTGTAAAATTTACCTTGTAATTTCGACTTTCGCTAACAAAAACATATTGAGAAAGTCCTTTATCCAAAGAAGGTGCTCCTTTTCTTTAGTTTAGGTTTATTTTTCTTCGTTTTGAATAGTTTTGAAAGACTTTTAGACACTTTTTGCCGTTTGAAACTCGGCTCTTGTCGCGGGGCAAAAAAATTGCGTATTGCCCGTGGGCAATGCGGGAAAATCCTGCCTCGTCAGCAGCCAATCAAATTGCGCGATTCATCAAAACAACTGCTTGCCGTATAATAATAGCAAAGTATTGAACTGTAAACATTTTTTTAAAATGCTAGTAATCATTGGCCTACGCTCGCCCAAATACATTATAAACGCGTGTAGTTGGTATGAAATGATATCGTAATGACGTTATGGGTGGTGCACAGTGCACCACCCGCTCCAGAACCCCTCTTCCCTATACTACTCACGTTGTAACCAATAATCTATTGGCGTTGTAAAGCCATTGTATGCAATAAAATATTGCGTTGTGATGGGTCTACACTATGATTACAAAAACCCAAACGCTAACCCCTAACCCTAAATTCGGTGACCTTCCCTTTCCTAATAATCTCCCCAACCCGACTCGACCAACCTCTCTTTTAAGGCCATTACATTTATAACTAAAAGTTTTGTCTATAATGCTTGTGGTTTTGTCGTCAGTTACAACGCAATACTTTGTTGCATACAATGGCTTTACAACGCCAATAGATTATTGGTTACAACGTGGGGAACGGGTGGCATGCAGCGTTTGCTATGTAATTACATGCAATACTTCATGTTGGAGCAGTTCCAGTTTAGCTTTTTGAAAAATTGATTTGGCTTAAACATGCTGGTCTCTCTACCATACAGTATCGATTGCGCACATTATATCATGTTCTTGGTATTTCGACAAAACAGTCTCATTATCTTTCACTGAATCAGTTGGCCCAAACACGGCCACAAATACTGAGAATTTAAACCAATTTGACTTAGTTTATGAAACAGTGGCCTGAAAAGACTGTAAAGCCAATTTTCCACTAGGCAAACCTTTCTGCGCGAAGAGAGAACATGATTTCAACTAACATTTCCAACATTTTTGCTTTGCGCGAATAAATTCACCTACTGCAGGGCCTTTATTAGGGAGTTTGGCAAGTATAACAGCAACGGCTCGTGGTCATCAACAATAGCATTGATCCTCAAAGACAAAGGCCAATGTAAATCACATGGTCTTAAGCGTTGTGCAATGCCGTAGTTGTTGAAACTATTACGTGATTTGCATCATTTTCACGGTGCATGACTACGGCGACAGTTAATTCGTTCGATGTTATTTGAGGTGTTTCAATTTGCATTCGCGGATTATTTTTACTTAAGGGCTATTTGAGAGAAACAGGAATACATAAAGAGGCATGTTCTGATCCTTCAAAGCTCGTAGCTGTTCGTGGCCGCTTCATCAGATCGTGTAACCACAAACTTATCAGTTCTTAATCGTTTAATAAAGAAAACATAAGCTTTACAAATGAGTTTGGGTGAGAAAACCAGTGAGTCTTTCCAGGCGAATGTGAAAAACAACAACCTAGGCCGTACGCTTCCCCCGTGACGAACAGGGATGACCAATGAGAGCACGATAAACTATGAAGGCGCGGGAAACCCGCATGCGGGCCAAAACACACCTCGCCTGGTATAAATATTACCACTATAACAAAATAAGATTAATAAAAAACCCGAATTCAAAAAATATTGAATATTCAAAAAAAAATTGTGCGTTTGATAACTTTTAGATCTTACTCGGAACATACCGAACCTATATTCAAAGAATTACGCATTTTAGATATTTTCAAAATAAATTATTACCTAACTGCTTTGTTTATGTATCGATACTATTATTTTAAAAATTTACCAGAAGCATTTGAATATTATTTTGTAACAAACAATGAACTCATAACTACAATACAAGAAATGCAACAAAACTACACAAGTGTTGTAAAATAACTAATTATGTCATACATACTCTTTCTAACAAAGGGGTCAATCTATTGAATACATTAGATACAAAATTCAAAAGAATAAACTCTTACAATGGTTATAGTAAGCTAGATCATCTTCAACTTATATGCAATGACCACAGATATACAGCAACCGTTAATTCTATAGTGAAAATTGTGTAATCTTGTAACTGTATATTATGATAAAATATCCTTCTTTTGTAAATAATATATACTTTAAAGTTACTTCAAAAACTCATTAATTATTCATGAAGCAATTATCCAATCTTGAGTAAGAAATTAGTCACGTGCATACGTCTTTATACCAGCTAAAGAACACTTTAACAAAAGACCATTGTTATGCAAACTATATAAAGATTCTTATATAAAGATTTTTATATAAAGATTTTTATATAAAGATTTTTATATAAAGATTTTTATATAAAGATTTGACTTATTATGCAAACGTTTTTGAAGTCATTTAAAAAAACTCGCAGGTCGTGTTTTATTAGGTCTAAAGCCACTCGCGCTGCGCACTCGTCCTGCTCGTTTTTTAAATAGTACTTCAATAATTACTCTTTACTGTAAATATATATGCAATTTTTTACAAGCCTAACTAGTGGCCTACATTAAAAAGCCTGTAAAGGTTTCCAGTAGGTCTCTAGCCCAACACCTTCAAACTACACATAGTTTTGTTACTTATTATTATACACATGGGAAATAAATATATGATTGATTGATAATATAAACGTGTTCGTTAGATAGTTAATGTTCCTTGTTTAGTTCGTCCACAGAAATGATAAGCACGACTTCGTTGACGGGCCGGTCGCGGTCATAACATCGTTTTGCTGTCGTCACTTCAATCTTCCTGACTTTACCATCTTCGCTCATGGAAATACTTTGGTGACCATCGCGATTGGCCACTCGTTTCTTGCAATCTCTTTATCTTTCAGGAGGATCAAATCTCCTATGCGTAAATTTGGTTGGTCTCCACTGCGCGGCTTGGAGATCTTTCGGTGTGAATTTTCCAGATGGTGCATGGTGGTAGGGGTGAGGGTTTCTGTGTTAGGATCATGAAAGGGCTTAGTATCTTGGGGCTTTGGGGTCGATGGACACTGGAGCGAGTGGTCGGCTGTTCATAATGGCTGAGACCTCCGCCATCAAGGCAGTAAGCACTTCGTGGGTTAGCTGCTTGGTGGGCAGTTCCTGAAGCATGGCGTCCAAAGTCTTTCTTGTCATCCCAATCATCCGCTCCCAGATACCCCCTGCGTGAGATGCGTGCGGAGGGTTAAATAACCATTCGCATTCTTTTCGTGCCAGGTAAGAGCTGATCTGTTCGTTCTTCATAAATAATAATAACAATAAATAATAATCGTGGCTCTTCTATGCTACAAGTGAGTTTGATTATAGGGTAACGAAGTAAACACCTGAAGTGCCGTTGCCAGCTCTGTCTGCATGCGCTCCCACGAAGTTTCTTCCGCAGTCGGAGCGGAATTGCGATACTGGTCCTCTAAGGGCGAGAAATCGGCGGAGAGCATTGAGGAAGCTTGACGTATCCATCGCTTCGATAATAAGGACCTTTAGCAAATAGGTGACGGCAACGCGACGGCGACAGCCAAAACAAACTCGTTCAAATAAGTAACTTTAAGATCAACATGTCTTGTATTATCCGTTGTATGAATTTTTAAAGAAGAGTAAATAATAATAACAAAACAAGGTAATTGCGAGTTTTATTGAAATAAAGTATCCAGATATTATTCAGTTACTTTTGGCTTTCTAGCTTACATTTACACAGAGTCCACTACTATTCTATAATAACGAACGCTTTCAAGTCATTTCAGACTAGGATATTATAAGCTGTCTTCTCAGTATTAAACACAAAGTGTCTATATATAATAGCAGGGTGTCCGCAAGATGAACTTTAACTGCTGGTGCTAATGGATCACACGTAATTTTCAACTGGGTTTTGGCAGTGGTTTAAAACCTTAAATATTACTACTACAGAACACAGGAGTATTGCGACACTACCAATAACAATGAGAATGATCCCATATGTTGGTAATCCATCATCTATAAAATAAAACAAAGTATAGGAAAAAGTACTTTGATGTTTTAATTTAGGCTTGGGGTTAAGGTTGGGTCCGATCCGCATTTATCACTACTTTATATTTCCTTATCTCTGTCATTAATTATCGCTATCCTTATCTAATGTCTGTCTGGGGCAGAGAGCTCCATATTAATCTGCAGCGAGAACTCGAGTCCAAAATGTGAAGGCGGAGATGGCGGAAATAGAAGAGACTAATATAATGATTTTATGAATTGAAAACGTGATTAGCGTTACGGTACGTTAGAAAAAGATTGGAATTAGCTGCGAAAATGGTGTAAAAACTGTTTACGACCTTCAGAGCTATTGGATGTCAATGGCCGCCATCTTGGCTTCACTTTTCTCATAGACTGAATGGCTGAAGCCCCCTCCCTCCAAAATAATTTTTTGAAGATCACAAGCCCAGAAAGTGCATTTCCAGCTATTTCCCACAACAATTTTGTTTAAAGTAACCATGCGTATATTGTCTGATGATAGGCAGATATTTTTGTGAAACACAAGTCTAACTGAAAAATTAGTTACGATATATTCTTGCCGATGATCGTACGTATTTGATATCGTATTGTAAAAGAAACATTACACAAATATGCAACTGTCAAGACGAGCGTTACTCTTCTTTGAAAATCACGTATGCCTATAAGGAAACGGTGACACTGTAGAAGCCCAAAACACTTTAAAAACGTGTTCTACCTTTCAAAACTGATAATTTCCCAATGGCAGGGTCATGTTAAAAAAGAAAAATATATTTCAAATTTTCAACCTTGGATGCTACGATGGTATAGCCAGCTGAGCATGCAAGTATTATTATTTATTATAGTACTAGTACCATATAGTGTACCAATTTCCAAACCAATTTTCAAGTATACACAAAACATTGAATATATATTTGAAAGTTTGAGTGTACCAAAAAATTGAGTACATTTGCTCATAATTTAGTAACTCTACTCAATATTTTGAATTACTCTGGATGCATTATTTTATACAAATTTTTTAGTCAAAATTTTTGAAGTGTAGCAATAGGGGATATGCCTTTGCCCAGCTACAGGTATGCTTAGTACCTATATATTATCTTTTCCTCGTACTAAATTTTTCGTTTTTATCAGTCTATCTTTATCCGGCCATATATTACCTGATTCATCATTACTATCAACATCATCAGGAGTAAGAAAACTTGATATATTAAGATTTGAAGTGACCTTAGTCTCGTTTATAAATCGAAACTCCTGTAAATGCAAAAAATATTGGTAAATATTAAGACCGAGACGAAAGCGTGTTATAAATACAAATATTATACCTCAAATTCAAATTGTCCAATGAAAAAACAGCATTTGTACCACGTGATAATGTGATTTTTTACGGTATTTCACTCAAATTCATGATTTCGCAATGCAGCGTGAGATACTATAATATCCCACGGCAGATCCACCGTGGGATATTATAGTATCTCACGCGTGACGCGTGGACACCACGCTCTGAAACAATATGGCGTTCGCGACAGGGGCGCCGGAGCCACGGGGGCAGCGGGGGCAACTGCCCCCGTTGCCCAAACAGGTTGCCCTTTTTGCCAGAACTGTACCTCGAAATTCCTGCATTATTCACAGATTAGAACTATTTCTAAGCAATGCTTAAAGATGCGGTACAGTCCGTATGTAAACAAAGGATTTGTTTACATCTCGGTATCGAAAATATAGAACTTTATTCGGCATCTATTTATATTTTCATGATTCTAGAGTATAATAATTAATTATCAAGACACCACACTAGATCAAGCTTTGCAAGAAGAGAAAATGAAATAAAAACCTAAATAAACTGTTTGAATAATAGAAAGAGGGCTCCCTTGTGCCCATACGCCGATCGGACTGTACAGCATATCTTTAATCAATATATATTTGCTTAATTTTTAACCAGTTGTAGTAAAATTAATGCTATTTACAGGGGCGTAGGAGGCATCCAAAGTTGGGGGGACACCGGTTTTCGGGGGCACTTTTGGAATTAAAAGGGCATCTAAAAATTTTCCCGTAAATGTCGCCGGCGGGCAAGGGGGGGAGTGGAGGGAAGGAAAAATAAATGCAATCATATTGAAATCAAAGGCCGTTGAGGCCGACTCACATATGAAATCAAATGAAAGTGTCATAAAAAATTAAAGCAGTTTGCAGTTGTTTTTGCAAACGAGCATCGTGTGAATTTTTGTCATTTATCGTGCTTCAGCCCGATTTCCGGTTCTGAAAGGCCCGATTCACAGACAAAGAGTGCGCTGGCAGCAGGCTGGTCATTTCTCATTGTTTAACTGCCCGACACTCGAGTAACCACAAAGATTCACAAAAATGCAATCTGAACAAAATTTTTCACGAAGGCAAAGGGCACATTGCCACCGGAAAAGTGCACTTTTTAGGTTTTCTGAAATCTTGGGGGGGGGGGGGCTTTGCCCCCTTGGCCCCACGGTTCCTACGCCCCAGATGCTAAATAAAACAATATACGTCTGTTTACTGATTTTATTTTGCGCTTTTAGCACGGTGCAACAAATAAAATTGTTCTAATTAATGTCGATGTTTGCGACCCATAATAGCCAGAAGTATTCGAGTGCAGACCCGCCGAGAGGGGGGACAGGGGGCAAATTGCCCCGGCCCCCCAAGGTTCTGGGGGCCCCTAGAAATTTTTTGTTGGGCTCCAGCCATTTTCCTGCGCGAAATATTTCCGTTTTGGGGTCGAAATATTTGTGTTTTGCGGACAAAAAATCGAAATCTGGTATAAAAAATGTGTAGGAAATTCCCACAAAAGCGTTTACAACGTACTCATCCGGAAAATTTTTTTCCCTAAAAAGTTGTCGTCGAGGGAGGGGCAGAAAGATTGCAGTCGAGAAAATTTTTTCCGAAAAATTTTTTTTGAATAGGGCCCCCTAAGAAAAATTTACCCCGGCCCCCTCCCCGAAGCTCTCGGCGGCCCTGATCGAGTGTCCATACAGTAAAGTTTTATCAAATATTGCTGCCCAGAAAAATGATGGCTGAGAAGCAACCCCCTCACATTGCTTCCGGCGCCCCTGGTTCGCGAGCTGTTGTTTGTAATTTCGTACAGAAGATTTGATTTAAACAAAGATTTTCAATACGTATGTTACCTTTAATGATCCAAAGGATACATGCTCAAATATTTTAAAGTAATAAAGAGGAAGCGTCAAAAACTCAGGTATACATAAGGGACCGGTCATTATTTATGGCAGGGGGTGGCACCGAAGAGAAAAAGGTTGGGTAAACAAAATTTTGAGTAAGTAAAAGGTTGGGTAAATGAAAAACAAAACAACTCAAGGGTTGGGTAATAAAAATTTATTGTCATTTCAAAAACATTACTCACCCTCAAAATATTGTTGACTGAAAAGCAATGTCAACAGTCATTTGGCAATACAATATGTGAATCAATCAGAGTCACTATCTTGATCATTTTGACAAAACAAATGGTGTCTCCAAAGAAAGTACATGTGCAGACAACATGAAACTTTAGACTGCAGAAAATTTCACAAGCCGTTATCAAACTCATGTCACAGAAGTGGTAAAGGACATGTGTAACAACTGAATGGTATCCTTTTGTAACGTTTTTGGCCAGGGGTGGGTAATTATTTTGTAATTGATATTTGAGGTTGGGTAACCAAATTTTTTACTTTTTAATGGTTGGGTCAGCAAAATTTTTGCCACGAAAAACATTTCTCTTCGGTGCCACCCCCCACCATAAATAATGACCGGTCCCTAAGATCATTTGTGTTTGAATTAAACCCCGGTCAAACAAGAATGACAGTTGACAAGTCACGCATTGTTACATGGGACATTTCAAGCTCTAGATTAACAAAATAATGGTTTGATGAGTGTTGAAACTATGTTTTAACTTCAACAGAATACATGATAGTGTTGGGAAAGCATTAAGAACAGCTAACCAAGCTCGCGTGACTGTCAACTCTCATGTACTCTCATACTTGTTTCATCCTGGCTTTACTCTTTAGTTTAGGTTCTACTGAGATAGATAATCTGTCTCTTAGTCTTAATGTAGAAATGCTGCCATTATGTCATAAAAACTTACCACTACGCAACGCATCGTTATTTCGACATTTCATGGTGCTTCTGTCAAAAGTCGACTTGTCATAATTACAAGCGCATTGACAGCAATTCCCGAGGCATTGCGAGTTAGTATCTATACAAAATTTTTGATTCTCTGGTTGCCAGTCGCATCCTGTCGCTGTAGGATTTTTAAATTTGTCGTCGGCTGAACGAGTAAGCTTAAAGGATAGGCCAGCATAGTCAGAAGATGTCACACACACCACCAGGAAGACGAGACCAATGATAATTGCCAATTCACGAGTCATTGCGACAAACTTCTGAAACTGATAACAATGTCGTATAAATAATATATATATCTTGCTGATTCAAGTACCGAATATATAGATATTGGAGCGTACTATATAGAACTACACAATCCAATACAAGTATCACTTCCAATATCGCTTTAAACTTGTATAATATGTATTAACAAGTCAAGCCGTGTCAGACATCATACTGTTTTAAAGCAGATAATTATATGTAAATCAAATGTCACGCTGAGTTGATTACATTTTTGTCATGACTCGCCAAACAAGCGCCCCCATAAAATTTTAAGAAATAAAAATATGTTAGCCCACAACAAAAATGACAGTGTTTTGCCAAACGACCAAGGCTGAATTCTCTTGACCATAAAGTCAGGAATCTAGTCCACTACTAATCAAGGTCACTAAGCCTTTGGATCATAAGCTGACCTTTGAACAATTAAATCTACTTATTAAGGCTAGTTTCCACTCAGGAAAATTATCCTTTGTAGACAAAGAAAAACTTTCTTGTCCGTTCCAATCCACGGATAATTTTCTTGAGTGGAAACTGGCCTTTATACTGTACATGGATTAGTTTGTTAAGCCATTTCCGTATTTTGTTGAATTAACGTGGAATATATTGATCATTTTGCTTTGCGTTATCAATCCGTATTTGAAAGTAGGTTGAGCCATGGATGCTTTAAAAATGTCATTTCAGAGCAAGAGATCAAAATCTTTTAGTTTCGGTTAAACCAATTGCATTTCATTTTCTTGATATATTTCACTACTTGTAATGAACTAAAACTTTCACTATCTTTTTGGTAGTAACGGCCGTCCATATGGGATTATGGCATATACTATAAGTATGTCCTGTTCTTTGAGATTTGAACTTTATAAGAGTTTAAGCTATCAAACTTACATACAGATGAATGAATTCTTCTTTTCCCTGAGAAGTGTTCACGAGATTATTTAAAGTCGGAAATGCAGTACAGACATGCATTAGTGATATTTTTTTATTCTTTATATAAAGCCTTCTTCGCCTTATATTAAGAATTCATGGGATTCGGGCTCTCAACTTACGGAAATACAGCTGTACATGCAAGGTGTGTAACACAGGCTGCTCTCAGACATGCAGTTGAGCGATTAAGTTAGGAAATATTGGGTGGTGATGAGTTAACTCTTATATACAGTAATCATCAGAAATTCAGCCCAATGTGTGAACAAAGAAGAATTCGAATTCAAACTTCAGAGGTCCTGCCCCCCAATACATAAACATTTTGGCTATATATATAATTCTCATTTTCGAAAGCTCAGCCCGAAAGCAGAGTTTTGTTGAATAATAAGTCTACAGAGATTAGTATAGAGAATTCGGAATTCGAAAACTCAACCAAATGACAAATGTTGATTGGTGGCCAGTTGTTAGGGAGATTTGAACTGTATCACCATGGATAATAAAATACATGGATAGGAAACTAGCTGACGTGACCTAATGTTTTCAATGGGATGATGGCGTTGCAACCTAGTTGCAAACCAAATTCTCAAAAACGGCATGTTTAGCGATAATACAGCTAAACATTTTAGTCAAAGAGCAAATAAATATAACTAAGCCATTCTACGATGAAATAAGTATTTCCAGTCAATTTTAGCAAATTTCGTAAAAATGACGCCAATTTCGTAGCTACAAATGTTAAAAAATACAAAACAAAGACGAAAAACATTGGCTTAGGCACGTTTTTAAAACAATTAGACCAGTTTATGCTTCAATATTGCTCTTTCAAAGCGGAAAATATAGCGAAACAACAAAAATGCTGAGAACTTTGCATGGCAATACATGTGACGTCACAGATTGCAACTAGGTTTAGACTGTGACATCAGCTAGTTTCCTATCCAGTTATTTTACAATCCATGGTATCACTTTCGAAACCTCAACCGAAACTTCGTCTACTTCTCTATCAAAGCGGAATTCTTAATATTGACGCTGTGAACCACACGTTTCAATAGCCTAGCCCATTGTCACACCCTTCCTTATTGGTTAATTTGCATGTTTTCACAACCTAATTTTTTTTTACAGATAAACTTCTAAAAGGCAACCAAAATCGTGTTACCTATTGGATGTTTCAACAAACCGACTCGCAGCACACATTTACTTATATTGAAAGTAAATGGAATTCATTTTCCCCTCAAATGAGTAGCTGTTTGCCAGTCAAGTTGTCTTAAAAGGTATGCATAAACCTTGGTTTGAGGTCAACTGTAATGGATCTCCTTCTGTAAACAATCTTGAGATTTAAAAATGGTGAAATATTGATTGTCTGGACCACTACCGGTCATGTGACACGCTTAACTTTGAAGTTGCCAAATTTGGGATGTCACGACAGTACGGGGGTCACGCGCACTTGATTTTGATGACAAAGCTCTTTTATCTACAGTAAACTCCGATGTTCATTTTCAGCAGCTTTTTGTTCAGACAAGTCATCATAAACGGAGCAATCCAATACCTGTGTCTACCTGTAGGTTCACTACTTACGGTACTTGGATTAGAATAATCAATCTGGCCTCGTTCCGTTTCCAAAATGCTGGAAACGCGTTCACTGTCATCTCCAATACTTGGTGTAAAGTAATTGATCTGGCCTGGGCGCTGTTCCAAAATACTATAGACGGGTTTTAGTTCTTATTTACATCAAATCACAGTTAATAGATTTGTTAACTTAAGCCATTAATTTCGTATTTTGTTGAAATAACGTGCAATATATTGATCACAGTTTTGCTATGCGTTATCAATCTATTTGAAAGTAGGTTGAGCAAGAGATGTTTTAGAAATGTCATTTCAGAGCAAGAGATAAAAAATAGAGATTATTTAGTTTCTCTATGCCATGAGCCTTCTCAAGGTTCAATAATTCTTGTTCTCTAATATGTAGAGTTTCTTGGCTAACCGTATTTATATAAAACGGTTGAAATGTGGTCAAATTCAGAAATGTTTACACAACAGCATGTAAATTAAGCTCGATATCATCTCCATATATAATAAATAGAACATCATTTTAGATAATAGATGATTTACATCATTTTCTCACTTTGACAATTGTTCATTGACCGCAACATCTGTTGCACGACAATGCTCAGTAAAACCAGCATGGATTATACTCGGTACAAAAATTGTCAATTTCCTATTCTGAACTCAAATTTGTAAGGGTCAGACCATGATTTAGCTAGTACAAACTGGTGTTTACATACCATACTTACATGTCTCAAGAAAATGCCCCAAAATCTGTTGAATTTTCTAAGGCTGAATAGTAAGACCTTATCGTTGATGAAAATTCTGACCATTTATTTTGAAATTTTATTTTCATGATATATTGCAATTTAGGCAATATTTACATGGAGTCCGTATTTGACTAATACTGACAGTCGGTATATGGTATCCAGCAGTCAACATATAGATAGTTAAATAGAATATTGCCCACCTACAAGTGTTTAAAATATATGTACAAAGTGTTTTTGGTAATTTAATAATTCCGGATGTCGCATTTCGTTTTAAATACTACTTACTAGCATTATTATTATCAGGAATTTGTATCTTGTTATATTTAAACTTATTTAAACTCAAACTTATTAATATTGATTCATTTGTTAATTTGAGATGTCACATCAAATCCGAGAATTCGGACTTTACCAGATATCCAGTCCTTGAAATTACTCAGTCCTCGGTTTTGCTTCGGACTTAACTAATTTTGGTGGCTGGACATCCGTGGTAAAGTCTTCATAGTCGGATTTCATACATCACATGATTAATTGCTTATTCTGCATGGTAAACATAACATATTGACTTCCCCAGAGCACCACAGGCTCATATGATTCAGTTAATATGCAGAAAGCTCTATATACGTGCAAGTTACATTAAATAATTCACGAGCTCAAAATTCCAGCGTTGTCAAGAGATCACTGCAGAATTTGTGGTTCAATAACAAAGAAAAACAATAAGAACTCAAGCATGAGACATGGGCGGGTTGATTGGCTGTTCATAATCTGACTTTTCTGGCAGTATTGTCAAATAATCTGACTCGGCAGCCTCGTCTTCTAACACACTATATACCCTCTCAGTATCATCGTCACCAGTCCTCCCAGGTACTTCACGGCCATAGTTCTCTGGAGCACTCTCCTCCTCCTCCTCCTCCAGTGTACTATATACCCTCTCAGGATTGTCGTCACCAGTTCTCCCAGGTACCTCACGGCCAAAGTTCTCTGGAGCACCCTCGTCCTCCAGTGTACTATATACCCTCTCAGGATTATCGTCACCAGTCCTACCTGGGATTTCTCGACGAGTCTCACAGTTATCAGGGTCATGGCATATCTGACCAGGATCTTGGGCCCCCTCTAGTGTGTCCACAACATGATAAAAAGGTTCTAGATGAAACAGAGTTGTTTTTGCATAACGTTCGCCAATTGCTTTCTGCCCGCTTCGCTCCTCCTTCCTTTATCCATTACTCCTATTCTTCCTAATCCTCTTGTTTCCCTTCCCTCCCTCCATCCTCAATCTCCCCCCTGCCTCTCTTTCTCCCTCCTTCCTTTCTTCCTCCCCTCTCCTTCCTCTTTCCCTCCTCCCACTCTCCTTTCTTCCTCTCCCCCTCCTCCCACTCGCCCTCCCTCCACCTCTCCTTCCTCCCCTTTCATTTCCTCTCTTCCTCCCTCCTTACCTACCTCTCTCCCCACCTCCCTCACTCCCCATTCCTCCTCCCTTCCTTCCTCCTCCAACGTACCTGCTATTGGTGTTTGTCCACTCACGCCAGACGCACCAGGAGTGTTACAATTGACTGGAATCTGCTCATACTACAAAATTAAAAAACAATTAATTCCAAAAAAATTTCCACCTTGTTGCCGAGACCTATTGGAGATTTTGGACAAAATTCAAATTGAATAAAAATATTGAAAACTTTACCATATTGCTCTGCACATTAACGAGTGATTCATAGGTTGGTTTACTTTCAACTTTGCTCATGTCCAAACTGGTATAATTACTTTCTAAGTTTCCTTTGGCGTAATCATACACATGATTATTCTTACCTACAAAACAACCGACGTTCATGTTAGGAAAGTGCTAGGATCTTTAAACACTGAATCAATGGGGGGTGGTGACCCTTGACCGCACCTCTAGGAAGAACAGTTTAGAATTGATAGAGTTATCCAGTATGAATAATGTTAGTTTAGTTCACGTTTCCTCCTGTGGCAACACTGGATCAATAAGAGATGATCTTTACTGGACCTCTAGGAAGAACAGTTTAGAACTGATAGAGCTATCCAGTATAAATAAAGTTAGTTTAGTTTAGGTTTCCTCCTGTGGCAACACTGGATCAATAAGAGATGATCTTTACTGGACCTCTAGGAAGAACAGTTTAAAACTGATAGAGCTATCCAGTATAAATAAAGTTAGTTTAGTTTAGGTTTCCTCCTGTAGTAACACTGGATCAATAAGAGATGATCCTTACTGGACCTTTAGGAAGAACAGTTTAGAACTGATAGAGCTATCCAGTATAAATAAAGTTAGTTTAGTTTAGGTTTCCTCCTGTAGTAACACTAGATCAATAAGAGATGATCCTTACTGGACCTCTAGGAAGAACAGTTTAGAACTGATAGAGCTATCCAGTATAAATAAAGTTAGTTTAGTTTATGTTTCCTCCTGTAGTAACACTGGATCAATAAGAGATGATCCTTACTGGACCTCTAGGAAGAACAGTTTAAAACTGATAGAGCTATCCAGTATAAATAAAGTTAGGTTAGTTTAGGTTTCCTCCTGTAGTAACACTGGATCAATAAGAGATGATCCTTACTGGACCTCTAGGAAGAACAGTTTAGAACTGATAGAGTTATCCAGTATAAATAAAGTTAGTTTAGTTTAGGTTTCCTCTGTAGTAACACTGGATCAATAAGAGATGATCCTTACTGGACCTCTAGGGAGAACAGTTAAGAACTGATAGAGCTATCCAGTATAAATAAAGTTAGTTTAGTTTAGGTTTCCTCCTGTAGTAACACTGGATCAATAAGAGATAATCCTTACTGGACATCTAGGAAAAATAGTTTAGAACTGATAGAGCTATCCAGTATAAATAAAGTTAGTTTAGTTTAGGTTTTCTCTTGTAGTAACACTGGATCAATAAGAGATGATCCTTACTGGACCTCTAGGAAGAACAGTTTAGAACTGATAGAGTTATCCAGTATAAATAAAGTTAGTTTAGTTTAGGTTTCCTCTGTAGCAACACTGGATCAATAAGAGATGATCCTTACTGGACCTCTAGGAAGAACAGTTAAGAACTGATAGAGCTATCCAGTATAAATAAAGTTAGTTTAGTTTAGGTTTCCTCCTGTAGTAACACTGGATCAATAAGAGATGATCCTGACTGGATCTCTAGGGAGAACAGTTTAGAACTGATAGAGCTATCCAGTATAAATAAAGTTACTGTAGTTTAGGTTTCCTCCTGTAGTAACACTGGATCAATAAGAGATGATTCTTACTGGACTTCTAGGGAGAACAGTTTAGAACTGATAGAGCTGTCCAGTATAAATAAAGTTAGTTTAGTTTAGGTTTCCTCCTGTAGTAACACTGGATCAATAAGAGATGATCCTTACTGGACCTCTAGGGAGAACAGTTTAGAACTGACAGAGCTATCCAGCATATATAAAGTTAGTTTAGTTTAGGTTTCCTCCTGTAGTAACACTGGATCAATAAGAGATGATCCTTACTGGGCCTCTAGGAAGAACAGTTTAGAACTGATAGAGATATCCAGTATAAATAAAGTTAGTTTAGTTTAGGTTTCCTCCTGTAGTAACACTGGATCAATAAGAGATGATTCTTACTGGACTTCTAGGAAGAACAGTTCAGAACTGATAGAGCTATCCAGTATAAATAAAGTTAGTTTAGTTTAGGTTTCCTCCTGTAGTAACACTGGATCAATAAGAGATGATCCTGACTGGATCTCTAGGGAGAACAGTTTAGAACTGATAGAGGTATCCAGTATAAATAAAGTTAGTTTAGTTTAGGTTTCCTCCTGTAGTAACATTGGATCTATAAGAGATGATCCTTACTGGACCTCTAGGGAGAACAGTTTAGAACTGATAGAACTATCCAGTATAAATAAAGTTAGTTTAGTTTAGGTTTCCTCCTGTAGTAACACTGGATCAATAAGAGATGATTCTTACTGGATCTCTAGGGAGAAAAATTTTAGAACTGATAGAGTTATCCAGTATAAATAAAGCTAGTTTAGTTTAGGTTTCCTCCTGTAGTAACACTGGACCAACAAGGAACAACTTTTGTCTGAATTCCTACCTCCCACATAGACCTCAATTCCTTCAACACGTTCTTTGTGAATATTTCATCCTCCCATTCGCTCAATTCCTGCATCAACGCCTCGTTCGCTTCTTTCTTTTCCTTCTCCTTCATTCGTTTCATCTCTCGCTGGTTCTCTTCCTCTTCCAGCAAAAGATGATTCATTAAACTTGAACGTTTCTCAGCATTCATTCCATTCACAACGTAGCTTGTACGACCCGACCTCCGAGGACGGCCACCTGATGCTAATGAAGCAAAACCAGAAATTATTACCTCAAGGGAACTAAGTGCAACCTTTCGCTGTGATTAACATAAAGGTGAATTTGATAGTGATTGACCAATAATCAGCATACTATTAGACCCTTTGCACTGACGTCACAAATCCTTAGAGTGTCCTCCAGATGCTCCCTAACAATATCTGTTCTGGTACAACAACCACATACAGCGCAAAAATGAACCATTTTAATACAAAATTATAATAAACTTTTACAAAATTTGCTTTGTTTACAAAAGTTATATTATGCATAGATTGCTAATTTGTCCTCCAGATGCATCATCACCGACGCTGTGACGTCATATGCAATGGGTCTATTGGCATAGGGCCAATTTTTGCCTTATCGGTAGACAATCGGAATCAGTAGAATTATCTATATTTCCGATTGTCTAAAACTGATTGTTGAGAAAATGTGCACTTTAAAAATTATATGCATTGCACATTGATACACATTGCGTTTTAACGCAATATGTATTAAAGCGTGCCATTTATTAACGGTTTTAACAATCTTTGGTTGCAGTAACATGTTACGTTGGAAATTATCACTAATAATTGACATGAATGACGTCACCTTTACTTGGTCGACTGATATTATGATGTCATTTTTAAATCAGTATCGGCATCTGGCAGATTGTGGCATGAATAATCGGACAATCACTAGAATTTTTAATACAAGTTGGATTGTGACAGTTGATTGATTACCTGGCTCCTCTATATCAGCAACAATTTCGTTCTTATTTCTAAATGCCATGGTTGCATGTAGAGTCACCTTTTCTCTCAGTGATCTACAAACAACATAAAATAGACACATTAAAATTAGGCCTAAAAAAATACATGTGGCCCCGGTTTCATATTGTGAAAAAATTAGGGTAGGTAAGTTGGAAATAAATTTTTTTTGAGTATTTTTCTTTCATGGTTTTGGCAGGTTTTTTGCTGGGCGATTTTCAGTAAAGTCCCGACATCAATATTACTAGAGATGCATATTTCCTGTGGACAAATTTAGGCAATTTGGTTCAATAATTATTGTGACAACAGACGCCATTTTGGCACGCTGTATGAGCAGCCCGCAACCACCTGGACAAATAGGGACGTACAGTCAATCGCATTGAAAAAAATAATTGGGTTGGCAAAAAAAAATAAAACATATTTTTTTAGGCCTTAAGCTGAGGGACTTTGCTTGAACTTTTACGTTGTATTTTTCAGGCAGCAATCCCTCTCAATCCACAGTTAACCCATTGCGTCACAATGCACCCCAGTGTACCCTACTTTTTTTTTACTTGTCTAGCGCCAGACAATTTTACTCGTCAACGGGGATGTTTCACTCTCGTCAGCGGGTTAAATTAATTAACCAAAAAATCTGATGTCTCTAGTTAACCCATTGAGCCGCAATGCGCTCCAGTGCGCCTTGCTTATTTTTGTTACTTGTCTAATGTCAGACAATTTTACTCGTCAACGGGGAAGCTTCGCAGCTGAATGGGTTAATACCAACCTATTTAACAATGCCAACTTTTGATCAAGAATTTTTTCCAGTTTATGAGCGAGTTTCGATATCCAGTGTGCAGATCCGTTGTAACGATAGCAATTCTCCAAAATCAACCTCACGTCTGAGATAACTGCTGTGATGCTTTCGTACACATAACTGTTGAATTTACCTTCAACTGAAAGAAAATATCAAGCGATGAATAATAGGTCTCAAAATTTGCGATCGCCGTGTAGCCACTGCCCACTAATGACCTGTTTGTCGGCTGCTATGCTCTCATAAATATATACTAAAATTCATGGTCAGTAATGGCTGACCTCGATAAAAATACTTTAGTAATAAAATTTATAATTAATTAAATTAGAAAATGAAAAAAAAATCCATGTATTTATGCAACCATTCTCAAATGTGTAGTTTTAACACAGGTAACTGTCACAAACTACAAAAATATTCGCTGCACGAGCGGTATATTTACAGTTTATTTTGCAAAATACAGATGGTCACAAGATAAAAATAAGTTTAGACAAATTGAGGGATTTGCAGCGTCAAACTACCAGACGAAAAATATAGGTTCTCGTTATATTTTTCTTGTATAGTTTGAACGTGTAATTCTGAAATCATGCGAATTCATTGCTTGTTCTGAAAACAATTTCCTAAAGTCAAATGTTGCAAACGATGGCTACAAAATAAACAGAATGTAAATGAATGAACAAGTAGAAATAAAATAAAAGCACAATGTGAATGAATGAGATAAATAAAAATTGGTCTAATGGATACTTTTACATATATAATTATATTTAAAACAGCATTTTAGGAAGAAAACAACGTATTTTTCAACATATATAATACGTAATTGAAACAAAAGAACAACTTTCACTTACTTTGGCTGAAACTCATTGGTGTTTCAATCCTCGCATGGTAATCCCACAAATTTAAGCCTTCCACATCGACTGGCTGTAGAAATGGATATATTATAGATTTATACTGGTCTGATAATAGTTCACGAACTATCCTATAGCCTTGTTGAACTTCATAACTAAACAAAGTTAAGTCGGGGACAAACGGTACAGGAACGACAACGGCTGGCTGGCTTGCTACAATGGACATGACATCAATTTCAACATTATTTTCATTTAGTTTCTCGGCTATATTTTCTTCATTTATGCTTGTTTCGACAGGACTGTCGCTTTTTTCCATGTCTTCTTGCTTTACAAGTAAAGTTTCAGGCTCCATTTCGAGCGAGAAAGTGCTTAAAATTAATCGCAAACAAAGCAAATTTTCCCCCTTTCAAAAATACAACCGGTGTTATTTTATTTTTAACTTTTATGACAACACGCGCCACGCGGGAATTTTTTGCGAGGACTTTTCTCGTATGTTCAAAACCCGGTCGGGAAAATTCCTTGCAAAATACTTGCAAAATACATTGTTTTTTCAATTTAAAACAAATTTTAGCAAACTAATAGCTGTCTTTATACATTTATAGTTGTACTTTAAAAAAAAGGTATTTGTTAGGTTAAAAGTCAGTTTTAACCTTCAAAAATATCTTAAAAAGCGTCTTAATGTTGATCGGAATGTACATAAACCGTACCGGAGACCATGATGCTTTGCGGGCAGGAAAAAACTAGAAATGCGCGAAAAATGCTTTTAAAAACTCAGAGAAGAATGAAAGTTTGTGAAATTATCGTTTTGAAAGAAACTAAAGTTTATGACTATGCTAAAATGCCATAAAAGTGCAGTGAATTATTGCTTTATAACGTTCAATGCGGGGTCATATCTCGTAGTGGTCCATCGTGCATTGCGCGAGTTGTTGCGGGTAGCGATCTCTTTTGCTGGCTGAAGAAAGAAGGCAGTGTTTTCAAATATTCGGGCAAAAATAAGGCAAAATTTCTAGCTTCAGGATCGCAACCTTTTCTCAACCCGACGGGCAGATCCCTGCATTTTATTCCCTGAAAAGAGGTACGTTGAAATTGACACACATAAACAACTACCATGAGCAAAATTTGCGATGCATTTTTACAATGTGAAGAGTATTTTTGAGGACGCGTGTATACTATCTATATATTGCGTTTCAGTATTTACCGAATTCCGATAAGCTATATATTTCTGGATTAGTTCGCAAGGGACATATTTATCGACTTTTTGCTTTGGGCTTGGGTCGTTTGTATGATGTACAAAAATTGCAAATTTCAGTAATTTTTATTTGCTTAAAAATAGTGTATTTGCTGAGGGAGTCATTTATATATATAAAGTATTAAACATTTATTAAATGTACTTGATGGATTACAGATTGACAGAAGATACCTGACATATTAAAAGTAGCAAGGGGGAGGGGTGGGCCCTTGCTCAAAACATTGACAGCCTTTAGGGGCCACGTCCATATTCAAGTCGCCGCACACCGTCAAGTTGACGTTTTTATCTAAGCCCACCCATCCTTGAAAACGTGGAGCGTGGCACAACTTCTGGCAAAATTAAAAAAATATTTTGCAACAGTGAAATTTGCAAAAATGCGACAGAATTATCAATCTGACATTTTGCATGGCAACTTGAGTAAGCATTTTTACCTCTGAGATCACGGGTTTAATTCTTGCTGTGGCCTCACGACAGTGATTGTGACACTCGTTTAAAAATATAGACAGATTTTCTGGAGAGGTGTGCCCCCTTTCAGATAGTTTTCCCACCTCAACTAGAGAAATTTGCACACACACAGAGAAATTTAAATGCTTGTTAGATTAAATTAATAAGACTAAAACAAGGACGTTGAACTAAATAAGACTAAAAACAAGGATTTTGAACTTCCTAAATTTCCTAAGGGCTTTGCCCCCTTACACCCCCCCCCCCAACCCTGTCCCCACTAACAACTGTGCCTCCAGACCCCTACTGCAGCTTGCTCAATTGCACTACATGCTCCCCTTGCTCACCCAACTGAATTTTCGACCACCAACCCCCAAGCAAAATCTGAAAATCCGTCCATGGTAAAAATTATAATATTTTCTGCAGGCGTTTCGTAGCAAAATGGCCACTGCAACTTCAGAGCCAGAGATCAGTATCAACACTGAACAAACTGCAGAAGAAATCCAGAAGACAACCACACAAGAACACAAAGATGTACCTCGTGAAGACGTAAATATCACAGTACCACCAAATACAATGTCTGAAGAAGTGGCTGGGATGAGTACTACCATTGCACCAAGCACCATCTCGAATGTGGTGCCCAGTGAGAGCAGTACCACCAAGGTACCACCAATGGTTTTCACGGAGACAACACCTTCAGAATCACAAGAAAACCAAGATCAGACTGTAGTAGGAGTAAGTACTACCATGACACAGAACACTGATTCGAATGTGGTGCTCAATGAATCGAACAAAACACATGGAATCGAAATGGTTTTCACGGCAACAACAGCTACTCAAGAATCACAAGATGATGTGGTCGGCACAAGTGCTACCGTGACACAGAACACTGATTCGAATGTGGTGCTCAGTGAATCGAACAAAACACATGGAGGCGAGATGGTTTTCACAAAGACAGCTACTCAAGAATCACGAGAAGATGTGGTGATGACACAGAACACTGTCTCAAATGTGGTACTCGATGAAGCCAACAAACCAGACGGAGGCGAGATGGTATTCACGGTTGTAGCGATGGAAAATAACATTGGTGATCTGATGCAAATAAATCCTGACAACCTTCCCAAAGAGGTTCAACTGAGTTTAGTACAACCTCCACCCCCTGACGACAGTAACTTTACCTCAACAAATTCAGGTCGTCTATCGGACATCAACCAACTTGCAATCATTGCTGCGAGCATCGAAGAAAACCCCAAGGATCCTCGAAGTACAAGTAGCCAAGACAAACAAGATTCATCCGAAAAATCCATCAAAGGTCGCGTGCTTTGTACCGTTTGCGATCAAGATTTTTCCGACCTTCCTTCGATGAGACGACATCGCTTGATCCATTCTGACGACAAGCCCTACCAATGTGATTTTTGCGACAAATCGTTCCGACGAAAGGACAACCTGCGGGAACATCGGAATATCCACACGCAAGAGAATATTTATAAATGTGAGCGGTGCGGAAAGTCCTTTCCCCGCAAGTACACCCACAAAGTTCACATGTCAAGGTTTTGTGGTAAGCCGGGACAGGAGACGTCGGAATCCGAAACCTGGACCGATGTTAACAAAGCGACGAATGCAAAGCCAAGCATGGTCGCAAGCAAGACTTCCGAACCATGTCAGTTATGTTTCAAAACCTTCCGAGATGCGTCCACTCTCAAGCGTCACCTGTTAACGCATTCCGACGAGCGGCCGTATAAGTGTACGGAATGTGACAAGGCATTCCGGCGGAAAGATCATCTTCAGGAACACGTCATCGTTCACAAGCTAGTCCGACCATTTAGCTGCCAGACATGCGGGAAGTCGTTCTCGAGGAAGAATGGTCTGAAGACGCACATGATTCGAACAACCCATCTTATCGGATTCGATGACATCATTCTACCTGGACAACCAAAGGGTTCGGGTGACGTAGAAGTTCATGTCGTCGAACAAGTCCTCGCGGCTGATCAGTTGGTAGCCACTGCGAGTGCAGTATTCCCGCGGGAAGAATCGCAAGGGAATGATGAAGTAGAAACCGTTTGTCAAACCACATCAGGTCAAGATATCAGTGAAACTAACCTTCAACAGCCAGACAGCGACCCGCGTACTGTTGCTGTGGAATTCTCACAAGTGCCAACGAATTCCGAGGAGGAAACTGAAACAACCGTCGTACTTTCCGAGAAACGCGCAGAAGAAACCGATGTGGCGAATCCTGAAAGCGGTGGAACACCGGATGAGACAAGCACAGAAGATTCCGGTGTAGTGAAAGCCTTCCTCTGTCCCACCTGTGGCGTAACTTTTCCAGGAAAAGAGGAACTCTGGAAACATTTGCAAGAACACCTTGAAGAAAATATGTTCGCGTGTCGGCATTGTTTTGAAGTCCTTGCAAGCGCAGAGCTTCTGGAAGAACATCAGAAGAGTTGTGATGGCGGAGAGGACGAGAGCGCTATCAGAAACGACGGTGATTCCCAAGTTAGCGAAGGTGAAGGCAGCGTCGACCAAACGGCGGACGCTACAATCGAAGAAGATGAATCGTTAGGTGATGAAACCCAACTCACAACTACTCCTAATTCCAAAAAGCGAAAAAGAGTCGGCACTCCTGAACGGGCTGATCAAACCTGTACCATTTGTAACAAAGTGTTTCGTGATGCAACCGCTTTAAAGAGGCACTCCTTGGTGCACAGCGGGGAACGTCCACACGCGTGTACCAACTGCGAGAAACGATTTCGACGACGCGATCATCTCAAGGCACACGAGATCGCGCATCATAGTGGCATCACCTCCCACGAGTGCAGGACATGCGATGCAGCGTTCAACACAAGATACGCCCTCACAGTTCATGCCAAAACCTGCAAGAACCGACCATCCTCGCCCAAGGAAATCTCCGAGGAGGTATGTGCTGTATATGTACATAAACGTTATCAGTGGCGTAGCTATAGGAAAATTTGACAACTCCTGCTCTAGCTAAGACCCGCACATTCTAGGGGGTTCCAGGGGCATGTTCCCCCGGGAAAGTTTGAATGGCCATTTCCTGCGATTTCACGGTGAAATATATCCAAAGGGAACAACAAAAAAATGTGTGATTAGAAGGACATTATTAATACTTTTTTTAGAAAAAGTTTTGAAACTTTTTGAATTCGTATTTCCATGCATTTTAATTGAAAAGTCTTTGAATTGTGTGAAAAAGAAAAAACCTTTGAAAGTCTTTGAATTTTTTATCTAGGCAAGAAGAACGGAATCCATTACCATAGCTAGAAAGAGCATCTTAAAATGAGTAAAATTGCAAAGTTTGGTTGCGAATTGTTGTAAAATGAGGAGAATATAGTCCTGTGAAGTTCGCAAATTTTGTATATATTTGCATTACGCGCGGGAAAAATAACCACTTTTGAGGCGAAAGTGGTTATTTTTACCGCGCGTAATACAAATATATACAAAATTTGCGAACTTCACAGGACTATAATTTCCTTTATTTTACAACATTTCGCAACCAAACTTTGCAGTTTTACTCATTCTAAGACGCTCTTTCTAGCTGTGGTGTTGGATTTCGTTCTTCTTGCCTTGATCAAAATTTAGTATATAGCTGGAATCACCCATTCGCTAACTCCCCGACGAAGGACCTTCGCTCAAAACTACGTTGAAGTTGATGAGTGGACTGGGGACGAGTGTTAAAAAGTGCCCAAATTAAGAAATGACCCCAATAACTAAAAAGACCACCTCAAAATTAGTAAGTATACAAAGTTTGAAGACGTTTACATGAATACCCTTCGAATAATAAACTTTCGAAAATTGTGAAATTACTGATTAAAAGATTGTTTTTGGGACGCGCGTCCCAAAAAGAAGAATTACAATACATTTCATAGTAAATACCACAATTTTCGAAAGCTTATTATTCGAAGGGTATTCATGTAAACGTCTTCAAACTTTGTATACTTACTAATTTTGAGGTGGTCTTTTTAGTTATTTGATTCATTTCTTAATTTGGGCACTTTTTAACACTCGTCCCCAGTCCACTCATCATCTTCGGAATGGCTAATCGGCGGCTTTCTATTATTTTACTCGCTTGTAATGTCATAGATTTATTTCATTTCCATATCAAATGAAACTAAAATATCTCGAGAACGAAAAAAAATAAGATAGAAAAGCGGTACATGCAGTAACTTATTTTATAGTCCAGTCAAATCACTATAAGCAGGGACGCCGGAACTGGGGGGGGGGCAGGGGGGGCGGCTGCCCCCCTTGCCTTTTGCTAGGGGGGGGCAGAAGTGCCCTTTTAGTTGTAAAATAATACGTGATAAATCACATTTGCAACGATGCTTTTTGTAGAAAAATCACGAGATTCAGGTAATTTATAGTTTATATTTATAAAAATTTTGGGAAATTTTTGGAATTTAGAAAAATATTTTGAAGAAATGGCGAAAATTTAAGATATCCGGAAAAATTTTTCGCTTCAAGGAAAATTTTTGTATGTCCGGAAAAAATTTTTGACCCCTAAAATGGTACACTGACCGAAATTTTTTTTGGCGACGGGGGGGAGGTCGTCAACAAATTTTGCAGTGAAAAAAAATTTTTCAGTAAAGGTGCCCTTGGTGTGCGTCCGCCCCCCTTTGCCCTATTATCGTTCCGGCGTCCCTGACTATAAGTACATGGTCGTGATCAAAGAAATTGCAATAGAATTTTTCTCAGTGGTCAAATGTGAGGGGAAGGTGTCCTGATATTAACATACTAAAAATCCAAAAAAAATCCCTTCGGTGGAACATGGTGAAAATCAAATTTTTCTTACTTCTACCTATAGAAAACCATTGCGGACAAAATGTTGAAATTTTGAAATTATTTTTTTGCAAATATATATAACCTGCATCATTGGAAAGCTTAGAAAAAACTAAAATATAGATCATTAAACGGTTATCTTGCTTTTGCTTATCCAGCCGAAGTTATACAAGATTTAAAATGCCATAAATTTGTATTTTGTGCACATTTTGCACTATTCCAACTTTGAGCTAGAATAACGACAAACTGACCAGTAAATTGAATATAACGGTTTAATTGACCTTAATATAGTTTTGTTTAAGCTTTCCAATAATGTGGTTACATTTGCCTAAAAATGATTTCAAAATTTGAACATTCTGTCCACAATGGTTTTCTATAGGTATAAGTAAGGAAAACTCGATTTTCACCATGTTCCACCGAAGGGATTTTTTTGAATTTTTATTATGTTAATCAGGACACCTTCCCTCACATTTTACCACTGAGAAAAATTCTATTGCAATCTCTTTGACCTCTGGTCACAGATTGACTGGACTATTACAGCCAGATGATCTTGATACGCGGAAAAGTACTGGCACTAGTTGTCAAATAGAAATCCATTTTATGATTAAAACAACTGAATATCTCCTGTAATATACTTTATTTCGATTCCATATTTTTGTCAGAGCTATAGTTCTCATAACCAAACATAATTACGAAATGTCAGCTAGTTTCATAAAGAATAACGAAAGATATAATTGACTGAATACACCAAAATGGATTTCTATTCGGACAACCCTTTCTGAGCGCTGATTGGCTAAAATACGAACACAAGATCACCTGGAGTATAAGTTCTTTCTGCCTAAAATGCAGACTTAAATTTCGCTGCCATTATACAGTAAGCCATGCATGCCCATGGGCGAATATCACAGAAGACAACACTTTGTACACGCGTAAAAATCATCATGTTGATGCAAGTTGTTCAAAACAGGAGCGAACAATGTTGTGCTGCACCCCGTGAACAACATTGTTAACAAGTTGTTGAACCATCAATATTGTTGCAACTTGTTGACAATCATGTTAACAAGTTGCAACAGTACTGATGGTTGAACAACTTGTTAACAATATTGTTCACGGGGTGCAGCAAAACATTGTTCGCTCCTGTTTTGAACAACGCCGAACAACATGATCAATTTTTACCCGTGTAGACATTCAGGCAATTACGCCGAAACATTCGAAATATTTGTATTCGCCGTAATTTGAAGATAGAAAGATAGTGGCTGTGACGCATTTTGTGGGTTTTCCCCCCAATAATTAGTGTATTTTGGTATTTTAGATATTTCATTATAAAAACGGCACGGGAGCCAAAAACAAAAATGGCTAGACCTGTTTGTTTACACTCGGAAATTTACCTATGCCGTGCCAATTTTCGCTTAGTGTGAATGGGACTATAAGACCATTGACATTCAGGTAATAAACCGCAATAAGATCCTTGACCTTGTATATGTTTGCATGATAAAAATGAATATATAATTGTTTTGTTTTGTGAATACGTTTAATTCTTTGACTTGACTGTGGCGAAGCTTTCGATCCGGCCTTCATTGATACTCGGTATAATGACAAATTTACTGTGCTTATCTTCAGTAGATTTTATTTTTGTGAAAGCAGCCAACTTCAAATGTGACTTATGTCAAATATAAAACCGCCAAGCGGTTATAATGGACCCAATCATGGTATCTTGACCTCTCTATGAAGCAGCCGGCTATCACCGGCATTTCACAGCATCAGCCGGCAACTTCAATATTAGCAACAACATGAGGACGTAAATCATAACTGACTGACAGACAGTGTTTACAATGCCGCCTGTCACCGGCATTTAATCACAGCATTGGCTGGCAACTTCTAAATTAGCAACAACATGAGGATATAATTGACTTACAGTGTTTAATTAAACCATGATTAACTATAGCCTATCGAAAGGAAGATGGCTGTGAAACTCATTAGAATAACAATATAACTCATTTATATGTTTATATGTTACTCATTTATAGGTCAACGTTTATTCATAAATCTGATCCGTCACGTGTGTATTGTATTTTTGCCAAATCCACCAATAGCAATTTCCAATTTACCCTACTATTGTTCGAGTCACGGATAGGTAACTTTCCTAAAACATTGCTATTGGTTAGTTGGGCAAAAATACAATACGCACGTGACGGTGAAGGACCAGATTTATGAAGAAACGTCGAGTAACGTAGATAATGAGTTATATTGTTATTCTAATGAGTTTCACAGCCATCTTCCCTTCGATGCCGGCTGTCACCCGCGTTTTCACAGCACTATAGCCGGCAACTTCTAAATTAGCAACATTCTTCTTAATTCAGTGATGTATATATACAATGAATTTATAGCTTTTAAATTTGAAAAGATGCTGTCTTGACACAAAAAGATCGCGTTAAGCATTCTGGTAGCCCTGAATTTCTGGTAGCCATGAATTTCCGGTAGCCATGAATTTCTGGTAGCCATGGATTTCTGGTAGCCATGAACAAGGCGGGAATCGTAACTCCATAATGAAAAAATGTTTGTTCTTAGTAAATACAATTTTAAAATTTCATTTTGTGATAGTTTATTTAATTGCCTGCACCATGCTGGGCATTGATTTTTATCTTACGATTTTTGAAAAGATTTTTGAATTTTTTTTTATATTTGAAAAGGCAGCTTTTGTACATGGTGATATTTTCTGCGTAATCATTTTATGTTCGACTTATGAGAACCTGGTAAAATCGCCGGTATACAAAAATGGTACACGCAAGCCTACAACTATATCTAAATTTATTTTAAACCCTGACTTACTCTTTCGTCGTCTTCTCTCTAACAGGTGAAGCTGATTGGGAGTCCGGAATCGAAGGAATGCCCAATCTGTCACAAAGTGTTTAAAGATCCCTCCACGCAACGACGCCATTTCAGAATCCATTCAGATGAACGTCCTTTCCACTGCGAAGTCTGCTCGAAATCGTTCCGACGTAAAGATAATTTGAAAGAGCATTTGCTTTGCCATTCCGATGAAAAACCATTCTCCTGCAACCACTGTGGAAAGTCGCTATCGAGGCGAAGTAGCCTGACCAATCACATGAACGTATGCCCCGCTCGAAAAGGCGTCGGCGCTGTACCGATGGCCGATGCTACGGCAGAGAATCCCGTCATACCCGACATGCAATTCGCCGAGCCCGCAGTGCAAGATATGTGTGTCGGCGGTGATCCACAAGAAATTTCCGCAGCTCACCTCCTGGCAACAGGTCTGACGTCATCGGTCGTGACGTCATCCGATATGGGGACGTTAGATGTGACGTCATCGGAAATGACGTCATCAGAAGTTGCTCCCATGGAAGAAGATATCGAGCACGGACTGCGAGATGAAGACGACGGCAGTGGAAATTCGTTCCCGTGTGAGGAGTGTGGCAAAATCTTTCGCGCCAAATGGACGCTGAAGTTCCATCAGCGCATCCACACTGGGGAAAAGCCGTACACGTGCACGACATGTGATCGACAGTTCCGTCAAGCGAGCCACCTTAAGATCCACGAGCGCACGCACTCCGGTGAGCGTCCCTATCACTGCCAGATTTGTGGGCGCGCCTTCATCGACTCCTCGACCATGAAACGCCACGAGCGCCTGCACAAGGATGCCGCTGACCCGAACGCCGTCATCGATGAACAACATGACGTCATCAGTACTGAAGATGACGTCAGTTCTCAAGATGACGTCATCAAGGGCCAAGAATACGTCATCGCAAACCAAGTCATCAGTGATCCAAACGAGGCCAGCGTAGTCCAGCAAGCTGTTGAGGTCAGTATTGCAGACGAAGGCGCGATCCAGCTACTCGTGACGACAGCCAGTGAACTCGCGAACTCCGCTCAGCCAATCAGCACCAATACTGTAGCAGGGATGAACCAATCAGGAACGAGATTAGATGAGAATAACCTCGGCCAGATCCTAAGAGAATGTATACGAAATCAAGGTGTTGAGAAAATTGCAACATTGGAAGATTGGCAACAAAACCACCCGAATGAAGACGTTGGACAGTTAATATATATTCAAACTGAGGAGCCCGCTGAAACAGAGTGAACTATAACAAACAAAAACAATATGTTCCCTGTTGATATCGACAGGTTGTCAACAATATTGTTACAGAACAAGTTGTCAACAATGTTGTTATACAGCCTTCGGGTAATCTTGTCAGCGTCCAGTAACCGCTGTTATCAATAGAGACCTTACGATTTTAGGACGGCAACGCGACGGCAACGGCTACCAATACAATATATCATTGAAAAGAATTGAGTAATTACAATATATGAATAATTTAGACATTGTCCTCGCTTTGTTTACAACGCCAAATCACAGATTTTCACGTCTTGATACAACGGCTGCATTCCAAGCCACAACAAGTGCAACTTCAAACTGGGTTTAGCAGAACTCTTCCCGACCATAAAACCCATGTCTTCAACTTCTAAGACTATTAAATTCATACGATTGATAATATACGATGAACTATCTTTACTACCATTTATTTGAAGGAGTTTGTTTTGGCCGTCGTCGTCGCGTTGCCGTCCTAAAATCGTAAGGTCTCTAATAAGAGCCCTGAAAAAACGTACAAGGGTGCAGCGCAACCTTGTTCAAGCTATGCATATCAACGGGGTTTTACACCAGGGGGCGGTTGTATAAAACCTTAATCACTTTCTTAATCACTATTTTGTAGTTAAATAGTGATTAACACCCGTATTCTAAAAGCTCACTCACACTCAATGAGTGGAGGTTCAATCTGAGCTTTTGAGTTTCAATGCTGTTTTTGAATAGCTGGAGGGTTAGTGTCGTACCTTACTATGTGACTACTCACCCTCCAGCTATTCAAAAACAGCATAGACACTCAAGAGAAACTCAGATTGAACCTCCACTCATTGAGTGTGAGTGAGCTTTTAGAATACGGGCGTAACTCTCAAATACGCGCTTCTTATTGGATGGACGTTTCCACTAACTACAGGGTGTATCAAAAAAAACTGAACAGATTTGAAATCGCTCTCAATTTCGCAAAATACCTATTTGTATCCCGTTTTTTATATATATAGCTTCTTTGGGTACTTATAATGTAGAATAATGAAAAAAAATTCTCAAACTCAAATTTGGTGAACCAGGGGGGTGTGTCTTTTCCAACAAACTAAAAATGGCTCGCGCACACAATTTAAAAGCTTTAATCATATTTTGAGTTAATAGATGGAAACATTGTTTGGTTTTTAATTACTGTACAAAATTTCAGACAATTTGGTTTAGTTTAAGCCGTTTAACTATTCATTTTATTCTAAAAAATCAGCCTTTCGCATGCTTAATTAATGCATTTACCTAATTTGCATATTGCTAACATATGCAAATTAGGCAAATGCATTAATTAAGCATGCAAATAGCTGATTTTTAGGAAAAATGTAACTTTGCGTGAATAGTTAAACGGCTTAAACTAAACCAAATTGTCTGAAATTTTGTACAGTAATTAAAAATCCGACAAATGTTCCATCTATTAACTCAAAATATGATTACAGCTTTTTAATTTTGTGCGCAAGCCATTTTTATTTTGTTGGAAAAGACACACCCCCCTGGTTCACAATATTTGAGTTCAAGAAATTTTTTTCATTATTCTACATTCTAAGTACCCAAAGAAGCTATATCTATAAAAAACCGGATACAAATCGGTGTTTTGCGAAATTGAGAGCAATTTCAAATCTGTTCAGTTTTTTTTGATACACCCTGTATAGTTAACTTTAATCACTTTTTTATACAACCGGCCCCTGTACTGCATAGCCATTGGTTAAACGAGAATAAGAGTTGATGAGGGTCGCAAGTGTCACTCACTCGCGTTTGCTCGCCGACTCTCACTGCGTTCACAGTGGCAGGAATTTCGGTGGGGTTTGGATCTGGGGGTAACCCCCAAGAGTTGAGAAAAATCTCATGCAAACTCTTGCTTCTCAATTCTCATCGACTCTCGTTTGCATTAACCAGAACGTATAGCATGTGTGAGTTTATTAGAAATAAGTGAAACGTGTTTAGGAACTTTGAACGTTTTAGAAGTACGAGTGTTTCAGTGTATAGCTACAATAGATAAATATGGATTGTGAATTCACAACGTTAATTTGATATTGCAAGTTGTTTTTACTAGTTTACCAGAGATAATAGTGAGCAAAGTGACGTTTTTGACAACACGAACGGCATGAGTAACGTCAGAAGACCGGGTCAAGGGCTGTGATTGGTGAAAAACGTCAACTTTACTTCCGGTCGACGTCCGTGTTGTCAAAAACGTCACTTGTTTAAGCTCACTAATGGAACAAAGATAACCTAGCATTACATGTAACTCACATTTATATTCATTGCTTATATTACACAGTTCATTTATTGATCTCGTATATTATGTTAATTATTCGAGGGTCGATCCATGGATTAAATAAAATTCGTAGCGTTTTAAGCCACGTTTACACGAGCAAATTTTATTTTAGCATGCTAGCTTTTGTTCAAATGTATTTGTCACAATAAGTTTGTCACAAATTTATCTACACGAGCAAAATATCTTTGACATATGAAATTTGTCAAATAAAATTTGCTCGTGTAAACCGCGGAGATTTATTAAATTCCTAAACTAAGGAAGGTCACTCTAAACGTCGATATGCGGAATCTTTTTCAGGTTGTTCAAACACAAACCACGACAGCTTATTGTAGAATACTACCTACACTGGACCACCACGTTTGAGATATCTTTTTCAGGTAGTTCAGACACAAACCACGACAGCTTATTGTAGAATACTACCTGCACTGGACCACCACGTCTGAGATGTCTTTTTCAGGTAGTTCAGACACAAACCACGACAGCTTATTGTAGAATACTACCTACACTGGACCACCACGTTTGAGATATCTTTCAGGTACTTCAGACACAAACCTCGACAATTTATTGTAGAATACTACCTGCACTGGACCACCACGTTTGAGATATCTTTTTCAGGTAGTTCAGACACAAACCACGACAGCTTATTGTAGAATACTACCTACACTGGACCACCACGTTTGAGATATCTTTCAGGTAGTTCAGACACAAACCATGACAGTTTATTGTAGAATACTACCTACACTGGACCACTACATTTGAGATATCTTTCAGGTAGTTCAGACACAAACCTCGACAGTTTATTATAGAATACTACCTACACTGGACCACCACGTTTGAGATGTCTTCAGATAGTTCAACACAAACACATCATGCAGCCTATAGTAGAATACTACCTACGTTGGAATTCAAACACAAAAACCACGTCCACGGCACGGTAGCTCATTGTACAATGACTACAATTAAAGAATCATTAATAATTCATGAAGAAAATTCAAAAGTGATGAATGTTTAGTCAATGTTTGTAAATCGCATAAAGATTTGTCCTGATTTACATAAACTTCAGCTTTGATTTTTTCGGCTTAGACAATGTTTATTTTTAAAATTACTTCGCCAATGAACTCATAAGATGGGTCGTTTTATAAGCACGATAAAACATTCACGTCCAATCTTTATCTGATATACAAACTCTCGCCTTCGGCTCGAGTTTTTATATCAGATACAGATCGGCTGTTCATGTTTTATCTAGTACTTACAGAGAGGTTAAGATTGACGCCGACAGACCGGTAACTGCAAACGCGAACTTTCAAGTCGAAGTTAGGACAACTTGCGCATTTAAATTGAAGAATGAATTGACTAAAAACTTGTCGAAACCTTCGGAAACTTGTAGGCTTACCTTCAAATGCGAATTGAAGTTTGCCGTTTGTGGTTACGTACCCTGCCATAAACGTCCATCTTAACCTCTTATCCGACTTCAGATTTGTTCGTATTTGATAATTATCAAATATACTGGCAACAGTACTGTTACATGATATTGTCATCAGATACATCAGGACTGATGAATACTGATGGCATCAATGCTGATACAGGCCGTTACCATTATATAGCTGTTACGTAGGGTGGCTACATTTTTCTGCATGAGCAGACCTGATATCAGCGCCTTTAAATGCTGTAACACAGCGTGCGTTTTCCGTGTGTATGCAACAGGTCCAGACACACCGGACGCGATTCGACAACGCGACGCGATTTTCACTGACCGACAACTTTGTTTTTAAATTTTCCAAATATTTAGAAGCGCCATAACATTTTAAGTTATTTGGTCAACATATCTATCAAAATTTGTTCTCATTGGCTGTTTTATTAACTTTCAAAAACTAAAAAATCAACCTTAAACAGAATCAACAAAACTTTTACTTCAAAACTCGCAAGACAGCGGTGAGGCAGAATATGCTTTAGGTTATGAATTTAGATAAATGTTGCCATGGTTTAGGTTATTTAATTTATATGGGTTGTATTTTAATATGTGTTATTTTTCTCGGCATATTATTACATGTATTTGCTCCATCTGTCAATCTCGTGTCACGTGAGCAAGTTCTAACTGAATGTTCTACTAATTCTATTTCCTTGAACGATAGAAAGTTATGCCACGTCACTCCCGAACAGGTGGCTGAGAAATTAGACAAACAAGACGCCAAAATATCGACACTTTGCTGTTGTTTGTTACACATCAAACGAAGAACAAACCTTTCTTCTTCGCCTAGTCTAGCAGACGTCCTTAAACCTTTGTTGTAAAGTCATGGAGATTAATTGGATCGTGGGAGAGGCGAACGTCGGGGTCGAAAGGATATGTCCTGGGATACATATTACACAAAGTCAATGGCAAGCTGAATGGAACGAACCATTCCAACCAGAGCAAAATGATGATCTCTCCGACCCTGTCTGTTCCATCCCGCAGTTTATTTGGTCATTTGCCAGTGTGATAATTGTAAATCCGGCCGGAGCCACCCGCACAAGCATTCCTATCGTCGATTTAGTCCACGCAACTAATCGTCAATCAGCTGTTGAAATTATTATGTGTGATGGTTTTACAGGGCAACTCAAGAAAATAAATGAAGACGTGATGGCGAGGTTTTCTTGGTGGAGTCCTAAATTTAACGACGGTACTGTCGAGTCTGTGCGTGACCGCTTGATTGAAGATATCATGGGTCTATTTGGTGGAGATGGCAACCAACTGGACCAACATCATCTTGAAGCATTGCGAAACCAGTTCCCAATATCCAACGCATTCAAGATCCAAGAGCAATACGGTGACAATTCTTTCACTTACACCATAGAGGAACTGTGTGAGTTTTACGCAAGAGTGATGAGACTCGAGGTCGAGCAGCTACGTTTCAAAGTTTTGGGGACATATTTATACAAACAAGAAATAATGCATGCTGTTTGTGTTTGTGGTGGTGAAGATGCAGAAGAAATGTTCAACATATATCCAGATGTTTCAACACCAGAGGATGGCGATGGTGCTGTGGTAACCCGAAATGCCGACGGTAATTGGGAGTGGAAAGCTCAAGCCACTGCGACAGAGATGTTGCAGTTTAATGGGGTGAATGTTTTAAAGTATCGCCGATGGGAACATGTGGCGTTTGCATTTTACTTACCTCCCGAACACCATTTATTACACGTTGATGATATCGAACGTCACTAGAGCTGTGCAAACTCCGGCTATTTTAGCTCCGGCTCCGGCAGTCAAAACTCCAGCTCCGGGTCCAGCTCCGGCAAGAAATTTTTAAGGGAATTCCATATTTAAAAGTGGAGGCAGGCGAATGTATTTCAGTATAATTTCAGAATTTATCTTTTTTAAAAACCTTTTAAAACACTATTAATAGTAAACCACATAGTCAGGGTGTTAGCTACAGTAAAAAATTCCGCGTTAAACGCGGTTTTCCCAATTACCTTGAGGTCGCAATTTCCCAATTTGTGTCAACCAAAAAATAGCATAAAAATTCAATTATTTTTTTCATATCTGACAATAGACCAGTACCGTATCTTGCCGTCCATGTTGCCGTCAATATGTTGTTAATACGCCATTAAAAACATGTTTATAACTACATTTGCGCAAAATTACTCCCAAAATGCGGGAAATACCATTTCAAAGACACAAACTGTCGCGAAAAATTTTGATATGTCCGGAAAAATTTTTGGACCCCTATATAAAATGGTACACTGACCGAAATTTTTTTGGCGAGGGCGGAAAGGTCGCCCAAAAAATTTTCCCAAGAAAAAAATTTTAAATAAATTTCCCAATTTCAGGTAAACGCGGATTTTTTTTACTTCTGGCTAACACCCTGACTAGTAATATATAGTAAAACAACATATAAATAGTAATATATTAGTAAACAACAACTTAATTTTCCCATTTAATGCCAAATGTTTGTTGAAATATGAAATAATTTTTCATAATTTTGTCTGCCGGAGTTTTTGCCGGAGTTTTCC